GTGTCAGCTGTGCTAGCTATTGGATATATTTAGACTAATTAAGTTCATTAGCAGAACAGTTGAATGGGGTGGGGGAAGGCATGGAGGGCAACCATGGATGCCAGGGACAAGCGGGGAGGAGGATGGGACATAGCAGAGGGTGGGGGATGGGGAATCAAGGATGGCAAAACAAAAGGCAAGGTATGCAGGACATAAGAATTGGAAAATTATTTGCTGAGAACATGTATGTTGATGTGCTTGATTGAGCCAATGTACAGTGTATTTTGGATGGGAAATTCATTTTTGTGTTGCGATGGTGTATAGTGAATTAATGTAGAAAATGAATAAATTTAAAAAAAAGAGTCTATTAACAGAATAAAATACCTAATATATGAAAAAACAAACAAACAAACAAACAAAAAACCCAACAACAACCAAAAATAAAACAACACAAACAAAACAAAACAAAGAATCCAAAACTTCTAAAAAGGAAGAGATTAGGACACAGAGACACAGACTGACAGACAGCTATGTGAGGGCACAACAAGAAGGCATCCCTCTGCAGGCCAAGAAGAGAGCCTCAGAAGAAACTGATCCTATGTACACTGCGGGCCTCTAGCCCAGAATTAGGAGAAGACACATTTCTGATGTTTCAGCCAACCAGTCCAAGGCCCTTTGCTGTGGAAGCGTCAGGGAACTCACACCTGTTGCAGGATCCTCCCACTGGGGCCGCATTCCCTTCGGCACTCACATGCCATGGAACTGCAGGCCCCTGCTCTCCACCCTTCATCCTTCAGGGCAGGAAGCTGGAAAAGTACATGCCAGATGACTTGTTCGAGGCTGTCACTGACCAGAAAGTACATCACATGTCATCGTCACCACATGCTCCAGAGTTTGCTGTGGTGGCTGAGGGGGTGCATCAGCTGTGACACACTGGATTGGAGTTGTCATCCCATCACCCGATACCTCACACATCTGGGAAAGCCACCTGGGTTCCCATGCCTCAGTTTCCCCCTCTGAGAAATCACAGTAATGACAGTAACTATCTGATACGACTTCGTGAGAGGCAGGGAGGTGGCATAGGCGAAATGCTGCCACCATGCCGGCACACGACTGGTTTCCTGGAAGGATGTGAAAGGTGTGGGGACTCTCCCCTACCTATTCCACAGCTGGGGGGAGTTTCTTCACCGGAAAATCCTTCATCCCGTGTTGTAGGGCAACATGTCCCCTAGCAGGAACAGAACTCAGAGAAGGTGGAGCAGAGAAGAGAGTGCCATGGAGGAGTGTGGGGTGTGGGTGTGGTGGTGCTTTCAGAGCACAGCTAACCTGACGCTCCTCCTGAGAGGTGGGCCTGGGCCCCTTGAGCTAAAGCACAGATGTGGTGACTATTCAACCTGGGCATATGCTGAGGGATGACCTGGGACTCAAGAGGTCAGCACTATCCCTTTCCTGTTGGGACTTGCTTTTGAAGTCCAGCCATAATCAGTGAGGAAGCCCCATGAGCTGGGGATAGGGGGTCTGCTGCAGAGGATGGAGGCCCCGGCCCCTGTGAAAGCCCTGGCTGAGCTGTGGCAGACGGCCACGCCAACTCACCAGTCAGTGCCTGGCCATGTTTCGAGAGGATTGTAATGGTTTTACATTACTTAAAAAAATTAATTAATCTATTTATTTCCAAAGAATTTATTAAGGTATAATATATAGCGGAGGCCATGCAGTCAACACAGGCAGAACCTAAAAAGCTGTCTCTCATGTCTAAGCAGGGCTTGGGTGAGAAGAGCTGCAGGCAAGGCTACAGCTACGAGCTCGAGCTTTCAACTGTGTTTGTTGTGCTGGTTTGTGCTGTTTTTGCTTTCAATCTCTCTGCCATGGGCTTTACTGCCGTCATGGTACCCAATAAGGGTAAGATAACACCCCCAACCTTACTTTAACTTTTACAATAACACCAACTAATAATCCTAAAAGAATGTGGACCCTTAAGGCAGCAGTGAATGGGAATTATTTTGTGAGACTCACCCCACCTACCTGGAAAATATCAATAAAGAATGCTAAAGTCCCTCTCAGAGTCATATGTACACAATATCCTTTAGGACAGTCATTAAGCTGCTCACAAGACCACATTCCTTTCCCATGTGGGCATTAGGCTCACCCTCTTAACTGTAGATTACCCGAGATAATATAGATGTTCCACTTTAGTATATATTAAACATGTCTTTACTTAATTAAGATTTCTATTTAGGCCTCTGGCCTGAGACTCAAGTTATCAAGCTGGCCAGGGACTGAAGTTATCAAGCTTGCTGAAAACCCCCTCATTCAAAAGGCTCTACCTGGTAATCAAGATCTAAGAAGAAAATGTACCGGACACATGGACTCTCTTGCCCTGAGGACTGTGACTGTTTATACCAGATCAAAAAGAACAGACATCATGTTTTATGATTGTTATTCTCATGTTTTGAATACCCTGTTTTTTACAGTAAAATCCTGTAGCTCTCCCTCACCCCTCCTACTCCTGTAAACATCCCTCAATAAATATGTATGTCTCCTAGCCACAGACGCTAAAGTCTTGAGCTTGCTCTGACTGTAGTCAGCTGAAAACATGCTGAAGAGCATAGAGGTTTCTGCCTGATTTCTTCTTGCCTGCGTCACCTCCGTCGAGTCAGCCCACCCTGGCTGGAGCAGATCTCTGGCAAATATAAAGTACACATACTGATTTTTACATATATACACATCCATGAAACCACCCCAAATTGGGAAGTTGAGCATTCCATTTCTTTGTTGTTTGGTTTTAGTTTTGCTATAGGGTGTGCGTCCCTCCTAGAAAGAGATGGGAGTACAAGGGGGATAGGGGAGTTAAAAATCACCCTCCACGGGGGATGATCACCTGGCAATCTCTTGTCTTCCATTATCCTCTTGGGATTTTGGGTGCGCACACACACACACACACACACACACACCCACACACACGTGCCTGGCATGATTTTCAAGTGGCTGAGTCTAGGACTTGAACCACACAGTCAGCCATGTGAAATCCAGGGCTGTAACCTCCATACCACCTGCTGGCCCTGATAGTGACTGTTTTCCATCGCTAAGTTATCACAGCAACAGATCACTGATGTGGTAATGCCCCACAGGTCTGGAAGACAGATTTCCAGAGCCTTGAAAGTCCTCAA